ATAGAAGCAATTACTCCTTTCTGTCAACCCCCATTAGCAACTTATTGAGAGTAGAACTAGCAAGCGTTTGCAAATTTTAAATCTATTAGCTAAAATGAATCAATCACCTGTCAAAGAGATCCCATCTTTCTAGTAACATATTTCAATACTTACCCTAAAATGACACAGTAAAGATTATCCAGTAGATAAATCAGCCAACTAATATTTATGAAGCACCTAATATTTGCAAAGCATTTTGAGACATGCACGCGAGTAAAATCTAAGAGCCTGCTTTCAAAGAGGTTCAGGCCTTGTTATACAACAGGAGTATATTAGATAACAACACAAAAGACAATCCAATATAGGCAAAATTGCAAAGCACTATTAGATAAGTACCATTTGAGGGGTATAAAATAATGGTACTCATCAATCAAAGAAAGGTCTTGTGACCCAGGAAATTTGTATAGGTTAAGAGAGGAAGAAAGAATTTAAGAAAAGGGCAAGACAGTATAAAAGACAACACGGTGCCTGGTGGTACAGAGTTGGGGAAGGGAGGAAAGAGATGGAAAGGCAGTTGGTATCTAAGCAGCTGTCCTGGGGTATGAATGAGAACATTATAGAACAGGAGTAAAGTAAATAATGCGCTTCTCACATCCCTCTGGTCTCTACTCACAGACCCAGCTAAAGAGTAGGAAAAACATTAAAGCCCTATTCTAAAGGAAACACTTTTAAACAACTTTCTTTGGGAAATCTCAGCGGTACTCTCTCTTGGAGGAGTTTTAGGGTGATGACTGCTCGCCGCCCTAAATCTGCTCTGAATTTGAAACCCATTGAGAAAAGTAGGACACAAAAGTCAAATAGTCAAAATACAGTAGCAGCTCATAAACTGATAAGGCTAAAAAATGGGGTTAGATCTTGGCCAAATTTTGTAACTAATAAATTAGCCCAATTAGGGACAAAACTGTCTAACCATAGACCCCCATCCAGGGCAGGTCACTGCACACTGCAGAAAAAGAGAGCAGTACACATCCCTTTCTGTGGGTGGTTCTGAAAATAAGACAGAGGAAGTTCTCAGTGATCCTGTCCTCCTCCCATTTCCGCCAGGCAGGTGTGAAATGAGAGGACAGATGTTTCCCTCCTGGTAATTCAATATTGGCCCTTCTCTATCTCTGTCTCTCTCAATAAAAGTTTTAGATTTCAATACATAACAACTACTGTATTTTCCCTAGGAATTTACTATTGAGATTTTGTTTGTATCTATTAACTAGTATGTTTTTTAAATGCCCTTCTGTGTATTAAGGGCATTGGATCCACTTACGCTGTTTTGAATGAGCATCACAATTTCACTTTCTAGAAAAACCAATGTAACTGGAATTTTAAGGGCCATTTTTTTATGCCTGAGATTTTGGAAGTTCGAACACATTAAAATTAGGAATAAAATATAATTTTTGTACTTTAAAAAGAGATATTGTAAAATAAATCATGCTATATTTGAATACTGATAGTATCTGAAAATTAGTGCCAAACTTAATCACATTCAAATATCCCCTCCAAAGAACTAAAGGAAATGAAATCTATCCATGGGAACAAGCATATTAATTATTTTGCTTTTGTTTAGGTTTTGCAGAGCAAGACCTAAAAATGTAACTAATTCCAAAAGCCTATGCATTTCTCTCTTCTTTTTCCTTCCTTTTCTTAATCCAATTTAAAACTTCAATGTCTTAATTATCTAAGCGAAGTTTTGATTTGATTAAAGCAAACAGTATCAAGATGACTGGCAATAGCCTCAAATATCTCAATATTCATCTTTATATTCCAAAAATGTACTTGTCCACTCCAGTGACTCTGATGGATAGAATGTGGGTCACTGACGTAGCCAAGTTCCCTCCCAGTCTAGACCACAGTGACTCTTCTAGTCGCAAATCCTCTAGGAAAAATAATTCCTTCTTTTTTAATGTTCCAGTTGCCCAGGTCAGTGCCAGGGTCAACTCAAAAAGAGGGGATGATAGTGTCACTTCAGGTATGAGACTGCAACCTGAGGTCTATCCACCTGGTTCGGGAAGGGGTGGTGGTGAGAAATTTCTCATGGTTTGGTACATATGAACTTCAAGCCTCTTAACAAAACTGAGCAAGTCAAGCATTTCAGGTGCCTGGGGAGACTAACTAATAAACTACACACCTTGGAAAGAGTCCCTTATCCAGTTGGCTTGGATCTTTGGGGATCCTAAAGAATTCACAGAAGATCACAGCCCTGAGTTGGTGAACTCAACATTGGTACTGGCATTTCAAGTACGATATGAAAGGACTGCTCAATCTCTTTCTCTCTCTCTCTCTCTCTCTCTCTCTCTCTCTCTCTCTCTCTACATAGACACACACACACACACATGCACACACGCACACACGAGAAGACACTCAATGTCATATTTGATGTTTTTTCTGCAAATAACCTTTTTCTGCTACCCTGACCCAGTCTCTCTCTGACGTTAAAAACATCCCCCTGAACCAAACCCCTCTAGCCACAGCGCTCTGGCACCATCTCTCAAGCAGAGCACACATTGACCATTTCCCCCAAGTTTTCTCATACTAAAAGCTCTTTTTTCTCTCCTATATTACTAGATACCTTTTACAAATTATCTCCCATATAGTTTATTCCACCAACTCATTCTGAGCGCCCCCCTCCAAAAAAAAGGTTCATAATTAGACAAAATTGTCTAAACAAAGTACATGCCTTCTTAAGGGAACGGGGACACAAAAAAGATGGTCTGTTCATCTTCTGGACCCCTTATTGGGCACTGGCGTCCTTAGTTTTGCTGTGTGCAAGTTATCAGTGACACCAATTGATGGTACCTTATGGACTTGAGAGCACAGGCAGCCTGAAAGCAAATAGACTCAACTTTTCCTAGAAGAGGAACATCAAGAGGGCACAATATACCTGATACTCAAAGGGAACCATCTATATCTTAAGACAAAGCACTAAAAAATGGAAAAACAGGAAAATCTTATTGGTATTAAAGTGCTGCCAGGCAAAATGAACAGACCTTACTCATTCTGTTGTTACAGACAGCCCCACTCCTCCTCTCTTTCTCCTTTTCACGTCTGCCTAGACTTTAGAGCAATGGTTCTCAGCGGTTCCCCAGATCATCAGTGTCAGTCTTTCCTGAGAACTTAGAAATGCAAATTCCTGGGTCTAACCTCAGACCCACTGAATCAGAAACTCTGGAGATGGGGCCCAGCAATGTGTATGTGTTAAGGGTCCCTCCAGGTAGTTCTGATGCTCACTAAAGTTTGAAAGGTGTTTCCTCAGAGCATTCTCCAAGCATTCCCTATTTTCTCCTCAAGCTGTAGTTGACACCGCCAGTTAATAGTTCTCTTCTCTACCTTAAAGTATGTACTATCTTCTCTTTGGGGGACCCTGAAATCTAAAAGTGAGAAATGCTATAAAGGTTTATGTTCAGAACAAAGGGCACAGGAACAGGTTTTTATTTCCCCCTTAGGGGCTTTTATACACAAAAGAATAGATCCTCAGACTATAATACCAAGCCTCACACTATGGCTTTTGGATATTAAAAAAACAAAAAACAAAAACAAACAAAAAAACCCAGCTTTGGGTAGAGGGTTTTAGACTCATTACAAATAAATATCTATTATTTAATTTCTAGTTGGATCCTAGGTGAACAAATGACCCTTGCTTTTGATTTTAGCACCTTCACCACCATGACACAAAAATTTAAATTGCACAATTTTAGAAGCTCATTTATTCTTCTAAACATTATCTGAATGTTTAAGAATCTGATCAGTAAAGACTGTTTTACTTATTGTCATTTCCTTCCCTCTACCTTTCCCT